ACCTTTCCAACCAGTCAATTGCTTTTCTAGCCTTTCTATGATAATAGGCTGACATGTTGCCTTTAGCAAATGGGAATACCAAGATAATGTGAATGGGAAGTTACGTATATAACAATCCAAAGCAAAAGCACTCTTTCAAGCAAGCATGAAGCAACATCCCCAATTTCAATCAAAAGACTTTGTTCAAATTTACCCTGAGATCAAACAACTCACTGACCCTTAAGAATTAACCTCAATTTCAAACTTCCTCCAAAAGATATATTAGTAAAAATAAGAGTATAATTGGCATATTGAAAGGTGAGTTATAGTAGGACCATTCACCCCAACCTGAAATGTTCCATTTAGATCCATAGAACAAGGGACCACCTCTAAGAACCTCCATTCTACATGATCATAAGCTTTTCTTATATAAGTTTTACATACTAGCTTGGAGACACCTGTTATCCCTGAACCAATACATTCACTCACCACCAAAAATCCATCTAGCATTTTCCAGCCTTTGACAAAAGTCATTTGAGTTGGGCCCTTACATTTCTTAGTACTTTCTTCAATCTTTTAGACAGCAGCTTTGCAAATAATCTTGTAAGAGCTTGATATGAGACTGCATGGGTATTAATCCTTAAAGGCACTCTTTTTTTTTTTTTTTTTTTGAAAAAGGGTTGTGAATGTTGAGTTTGCTCTTTTGTCCAATGATTTATTTCAAAGAATTCCTCACAAAAATTAACCACCTTAGGTTTTATTACATCCTAATGTTCCTTGTAGAAGCCATATTAAATCCATCTGGCCCTAGAACTTTATCCCCCATTCATGCATGATTGGCTCCCAGAGTTCCTTCTCTCCACATTCCTTTTCCAATCACTAAGCCTTATCATCTGCCAATCTTTAAAGGGATAAATTACCCAATGAAACAAAACCTTCTGGGAAACGTTGTATAAAGCTGAATATAAATTCCTGAGTGCTGCCTTTATTATCTATTCTGGTGAATAAATGATTTCTCTCCAACCTGTAACCAGCTAAAACAAAAGTCCAACAGTGGTATACAATAATCTTGTATTTTTCTTCCTACTGTTAGCCAATTGACAAGTTCAACATCACATCACAAGCCTTGCCACAGCTCTAATTTCTTAGGTCCCATTTGGTTCGCGGGAATAGGGGTATGGAATCAGAACCGGAATGGGCTATTCCAATTCCAACTGTTTGGTTGGGTGGAATCGGAATCCCATTCCCATTCCTTCTGGAATGGCATTCCCCCATTTGAGGGAATGGCCATTCCCTGCCCCTCCCTTGGGAATGAAATCTCATTCCTGCTGATTCCAATTCCCATTCCCATTCCTGCCTGAACCAAACTGACTGTAGCAATAGACCATTCCGATTCTGACTGTAAACCCAACAAAGCCTTAGTTCTTATAGCCATTAATAACCCAGCAGTTCTTCATAGAAGAGCAGAAAATGGTTCCACAGCCTACATCGCACCCCCCAGAATCTACCAAATCCCAATACATCTGGATTCTAGCAGCCCCAATACATAATCTTGCCCCTTGTTATCTAATGTTGGTACCCATTTGATACTGGCATGTATCTCCCTTACTGCTCCTGATTTCCCTTAGCATGTGTCTATACTGCCACAGTCCCTCCAAATTATTTTGCAACCAAACGGTAACCACACTTGAATCTCCCTCAATGATAATATTTCTGTAATTCAGGGATTTTCCTTAGCATAGCCTACATCGATCCTAAACACCCCATTGAGTGATTCCAAGTTTTTCTCTATTTTCTATTTCATTTTGCAAGCAGCTTTTACAGTCAACAACACATACGTTCTTCATTTAAGGCACTACTCTAACATTCCCAAAGGACTGAAACTGATTTAAGCAAGTTTTTATTTGTTTTACATGAAAGCCCAAAAATTTCCCCCTCAAACCATTTTCCTCTTTTTGTGCCAAACCAACTCCAACTGCTCCTATATTTGGATGCCCTCATAGATCTTCATAACCTTTCAACACACCGAATCTGATCTGATGCAGATGGGTTCCAGAAAATATATATTATAATAGGGTAAATTGCTGAAATCTCCCATGAAGTTTCTGACCATTGTTGAAATCTCCTCTCAACTTTCTGACATAGTTGCAAGTAGACCCCTTTTGTTAAAATCCTCTAATAAGAGGCACAGAAATGTCCAAAATACCCATACAGTTATTACTGAGGCTGATTTCTACAGAAAAAACAATACAAACTTTATTAACAACAAAAAAGAGAGTTTAAAGTTGTAGATGTGATTGATATCAAGGGAAAAATTGAAAAATAAACCAATTTTGGAAAATAGATTGGAGAGGCATGGGGTAGTGGTTGATATGAAGAAATAATTTGGAAAATAAACATTTTGGTCAAAAGCAACTGCATGGGTATTTTGGGCATTTTTGTGCCTTTTGTTAGAGGATTCTAACAGAAGGGGTTTACTTGCAACTGTTTTAGAAAGTTCAGGGGAGGTTTCAGCAATTTACCCTTTATAATAAAAAAAAAAAGAGAAAAGCAAGTATACATGTCATATATGAATAAGTATTAACCAAGTCTAGAAAGAATAAGATAAAAACATTACCACAAGAAAGGACTATGCATGTCAGCAATTGAACTTCTAGGTAGAATCTTACAGCCTAGAAGTCGTGTCTCTTTCGGGTGATATGATGATATCTTCTTTCTATTGTATTTCTTTTTCTTTTAAATGAAAAAATTCTCTCTATTCTTCAAAAAGAAAACAAAGAATTTCCAAACTCAATTTCTCTTGATCCAACCATTGAATTGAGCTGAAATTGGATATATTCGAATTTAAGGAGCATTAGAGGAGCCTTTAAAATCTCAGGCTCATCATCAAGGGAAGGCTTTCATCAAGAAAACTTTGATTGCTCACATTTATGGACTGTCAACAGTGATCAATGGTCAAAATCAAAGTTTAACCACATGGATCCCACATGATCAGTTGCCCAAGTGCCTATTATTGGTTTAGGGCCTCTTTAGACATTATTGAGCATAGTTGTCAAGGCAACGCCTAGGCGACTAGGCAGTTTTTCATGGTCGCCTCGCCCAAACGCCCCAGGTTTTGCATACTAGGCGCCCACCTAGAGAATTAAGCTGGCGCCTAGGTGTCTTCATACATACATATATAAAACCATTTTTTTTAATTTATTGTTTTGATATTTTATTGGTTGTTGTCTTCTTTTAAAATAAATCTGCTACATGGTATCATTTTAATATTAAGACAAGTATACAACTAATCTAATCTCCATTTCTTTGTTCGATTGGAGAGGGAGGAGAACCGACCACTTCAAGCTCAAGCCCCAGCCCAACTCCATCGCACCTCAGCTCCGGCAGCGGTAGGTAAGTTCTTCAAGCTCAACCAAACACTTCTTCTTCTTTCTTCTTTTCCTCAAAAAAACAGTCCGTCGGTCCTCCCTTTCTGTAGTCTGCACTCTTCTTTCTCTTTTCCAAATTTCAGCCAAAAAAACAGGGGCTCCGCCAGTCCTCCCTTTCTTTTTTTTTTGAAAAAACAGGGGCTCCACCCCTATACTCCTCAGTCCTCCCTTTTCCAAATTTCCATCACCTAGGTGTCCCATGGTCGCCTAGCCTCGCCTAGTCGCCTTGACAACTATGTTATTGAGTCATACTGTTATAGTTGTGTTTTCAATTGAGGGTAAACGGGGTCAGTATTGTCTTTTTAATTTATTACCTAAAGGCATTTAGGGTACAAATTTTTTGTGACAAAGTTTTGAAGTTCTTTAATTCTTCTCCATAGCTGACTGCTGTAAGTTGTTTTTATGTTGTTACATATTCTTCCATTCACTTTTGGTGAGTAATTTTATTCATTTTAAAGGAACTTTTGATGCATTGCCATTACCATCTCAGAGGTCCACCTAGAACTATAAATTCCAGAATTTTCGAGTTTTTTTTTTCACAAAGCAGAATTTCTGTCCTTTTATGCATGGAATACTCAAAAACCTATCAAACTTGGTCAGTCAAACCTCTACAACTATCAGTTCCAAACCTCATACAGAATTTTATTAATAATTTTACCCTACAGTTAGTTTCGAATTTTTATTTTTCCTCCCCTTCCCCCTCTCCAACTAAGAGCTCATATTTCTTAGCAATTCAACTTAGAACCTTTTCAAATCCTCTTAACCCTTTCCTTTTCTCCTAAAATCATACATTAAACCTTCCTACCTAGTTGTTACCTGATAAGCTTACCCATTTTTTATTGGAAATGGTAACTTTCATTAAGGATATCAAAGAGTGTTGACCCCAAAATAACTTAAAGAGTTACAGTACAGCCCAAAAAAAGTTTTTCCTGAATGTCCCCTGTTTTGCCAAGCTATCTGCCACAGAGTTTGCTGATCTCCTTACCTATCTGAATGTTACTCGAACTTCCCTTGCCAAGCAGATTATTTCCCTTATTTGCTGTCTAAACTTCCATACACCCAACTTCTTTGTTTGCAGCCACTCTATTAGCAAATTAGAGTCCCCTTCCACCTCCAAGTTCTGAAATTCCCATTGCTTGGCTAATCTCAGGCCTTGTAGGAGAGCCAAAATTACCCTTGGGTCATTAAGATTCTATATAAGAAAGGTATCTACTGAAGAAACATAAACACATGCATTAGAGAATGATAGGCCATCAAAGCTATCAACAGTCGCAATTCCTAAACCCCAAAAAGGCTATGAGAAGCCTTCAAAAGCAAATCACCACCCTTTCTATTGGCTTTAGAAGTTGGTAATCTCCTAGGCCAATCCATCAAAATGGTGTAAATTCTCATCCAAAAATCTCACCATATAGAGTATCCAAATAATTAATGGAGAAGTTATTTTCTAAATACAACAAACATGTAATGGTATGCAGCGAAGAATTACCTGAGAAGCTTACATGCAGGAAGTGACTTCTCTTTCAGATTATCCTTGGGGTGGCAACTATGACTTATGTACGGACACCTGAACATCACTTATCCCCATAAAAGCAATTTTATGGTGCAAGAACCATGGATTATTTTTGAACTGAAAATTGATTCTGTAGAGATTCAGAACACTCAATCAGGTGTACAGAATGCTTAAATTACAAAGTAAACTTTAAAGATCGTTCCAGACATTAAAATCTGTGGTAGAGCTATTATAAGTTAATATACTGTCTTGGCACCCCAAAAAGAATGTTGTCCGTACTGGATCCACATTTACTAAAGCATGAGCAGTTCCACTTGGGCTAGCAGCTATGGCTAGCTCTTTCGCACTGATTGTGACTTCTGCATAGCCTTTACCCACTATATCATTGTTTTCCAACTGCAGAGAATGAGAATAGGATTTAATACAAGAAAACATCAAAATTCTTGCTTCATATATAAGGCATTTTGCAACCATAAAGCATTAAAGTAGTGCATTATTTTTTTCCTTTGCTTTTTAACACTTCTCTGCATCTAAATGCCTCAAGTACATATCTGGAAAAGAACCATTTTGCCCTACAATTTAAAGGAGCCCAGCAAGAAGGATAAATCTATAATCATATATACCAGACACATTTGACCAACTGGTGGTGGCTCAGTTTGTGGGATCTCTGGCTGTTTATAGTGGAGATTCGGGATCAAATACTGCTGCCACCATGGTTTTTTATATTTTATTTTTTGTGGGGGGTGGGGGGGAGGTTAGGGGTATGGAAATGGGCTACCACCCATGTGTCATGCAGAGTTGAGATATGATGGAAGAAACATTTAACACAAGTTGATTCATTTCAGTCTCTCACTTAATCTTCTAAAAACATCTACTGTAGTTCCAAATAACAAATATTTTTTTTTCGAAAATCAGTTCCCAATGGGTTCATCACTAAGAATTGTTTTGTAGCTGCTGATATGTGCTCTAGTTAAAACATTTTTAATCTGCAATGCATATTTTCCTTTTTCTTGTATGAAGAAATCTATGAATACCCGAAATTTTGTTTTAGCTCCCCAAATAATAAATGTCTCATTGCAGGAATGGTGTCTGTGATTTCCCCTAACGCCACCAGGCCGGATTTCACCCACATGCACTGAAGCGCAGGTTATTGCTCCCCCTGTAAGGAAAAAGCCCAATGCTGTAAATGTCTGAAACTCATGCAGAAAGGGGTGAGGAAGACTGTAAACGATGTACAGCGTGCAATCATGTCTTTTCCATGATATGCCAGAAACAGAATCAAATGAGGATTAGACGCCAGATAATTCCTTCTCAAACAATCAAGAAAGCCATAACTTTCCAATAAATCAAATTTGATCAGAAAAATAAGTAAACCAGAAACAGAGAGCAAACAACATAATATTTATGCAAATATGCACGCCAAACAAGGGAAATTGAAAACAAGAACCAAGATGCAGCATACGAAAAATCAAGACCCACCAAAAGATTTCAATCAAATCAGCAGAATGAACCATGACCCAGCAAAAAAGGAGTAAAATCCACATCCAAAAATAACTAAAAAGAAGAAAATTGAGAACCATACCTGAAATTCCAGCTTCATTAGCAGCAGTCACAGGGTTGAGCAACCATCCCCTTCTATCTCTGGAGATCGGAGAAGGGAAGCCAGAGCTAAACCTCACCAGGTTTGCTTTCCCGTCATCCTCTCTTCTCCATTTCTGGTTCTCTTGATACTGGTCCTGTTGATGAAAGGAGAAATACTGGAGGTGTTGCAGTCTGAGAAACACCCATGTCAATAGAATAAATACAGAAAGAAGGAAGGGGAAGGCATGTGGCCTTTTCAAGAAGTAGATGAGAGAGGAAAGAGAGAGAAAGTGAGTCTGTAATGGGTTTTCGGATGATGGATTGTTGGAGTAGGAGCTTCTCTCGGATGATGGATTGTTGGAGTAGGAACTTCTCCTAGGGTTTGCCATCAAAACAATAGCATTACTGCATTAGTATTCTCTCATTTTCTGTTTGATTTGTCACTCTGTGCCTGTTCCAGGGTTTGTTGAAAATTTCCGTCAATTCTTGCTTTTTTCATTTTCTGCTTTGGTTTGAAAGCAGAAAGAAAAGGAAAAGTAGCGAAACGTATGTTCCTCACAGAATGAGATTATTTTAGGCCATGTTTGGCATTAATGCCGTTTTTTGAGAAAAAGGGTGCCTATCACAAAAAATGGTGCTTCAAACAATACCCTTTGTTTGGTACCATTTTTCTATAAAAACTTTGCCCTAAACTATATCTTGAAAATTGGGAAAGTATGATTTAGAGCAACACCAAATTCAATATTTTCTGGAAAAAGTGCATTAATGATGTGGCATTATCTTGAATGTTGAAATTATTGCTGTTGGCACTGGTATCAAACAAAACCAATGTCGTTTTCTCAAAAAACGCCTATGTGGCAACACCAGTTCCAAACAAAAATAAGCATCATTTTTCTTAGAAAACAATGCAATATTCCTAGCTAGGGGTGAGCATTATTCGATTAAAATCGAAATACCGAACTAAAAATTTTGATTTCGGTTTTCAGATTTAGAAATTTGGTTAGCCGAAAAAACTGAATTAACTAAATTTTATTATATAATATACAATATATATAGCATTTCATATATAATATGCTATATATTTATATATTAATATATTATATATAATGTATAATAATGAAATTCAATTTCATAACATATATTATAATATATGTATTATAGGTTATAATATATAATATTATATATATATATTAATTAAATTCGTTTTTAACCGAAAATCGAACCGAAAATTTTAGTTTGGTTATTTTGGTTTTATTGTAATTCGGTTTCGGTTTCGGTTTTCATTTTTTATTTCGGTTTATTTGTTTCAGTTTTTAACCGAATAAACTGAATGCTCATCCCTATTCCCAGCACCGATGCCAAACACCTACTTAGAGTTTGGCCCGCATGTTGGCTAAACTGCATGCTAAAAATCCATTGAACCGGACCGTTTTGATCCTATCCTATACATGTGATATATTTTTTTGGTAAAAGAGGTATGAGCCTAGATCATATCTTCTCCTCACATTACACTTCTCTCAAAGAGGCACTCATACTTTGGGTGACCATGGGTCAATTCAGTCTCAATGTAGAACTTGGAACCTACCCTATTATAGGTTTTTGAACTTGTAACCTACCCTAGTGTCAAGATAATTATATTGGATTAGTTCTGATCTTGGCAGTTTTTCGGGGTCTACCTAGAAAACTTTGTTCCTTTGTTTTGGTAAATAAGAAAACTTGTTCCTTAAAAACTTAAATTTCAATAATAATAATAATAATAATAATAATAATAATAATAAAAGACTTAAATATTCCCAAGTTTTTCTTAAATTGATTTAAACATACCGTAAGGTTTTCAAATGAACTAAAAACAAACCTTATTGGGTGGTCCTGTTAACAAAAAATGTCATATGACCCATCTGAAATTTTAAAAATCCTATTTTTCCCTTTGAATTGCTTCTTCAATTTCCAATTTTGGAGTTCGGATCTGCTCCTTACAACACCTCCCAGCCACAAATCAAGAACATCTCCTGTACTTTGTATTATTATTATTATTCATAGAAAATCCCAATTCTCAATTTTGTATTCTTGGAGAAAAATGTGCAAAAGAGAATTTGAGAGTCCTGGGCTTGAGCAATGCACAAAATGCATAGTTGTGCTTGAAGGAGTGTCTTAGTACAAATTGGGTCATCATTTTCCAAATTTGTGATCAAATATTGGTGCCAAAGTAATACTCCATGACCGAACTCACTCACGTTCATGAAAACTATCCCAAGTTAAAAGTGAGGTTTCAGAGGGAACTTTAACCAATGAAGAGCACTGTTCTGGATAAACAGACCTTACAGCAAGTCTTACAAATAGCTACCTAGCAAGAGGACTATGCCCAAGCAACAAAAATAAGAGATAGCCTTCAGCTTCTCCATGAGGATAGAAGGGCTTCAGTTCTAGCGGCAAAATGCATGGTTCTACAATTTCTTCAAAATTGAAGTTCTGGGTACAATTCAATCCTTCGGGAAAACATGTTTGCTGTGTGCACCCTTGTGTGGTTGGAATATTTGGTTATTATCTTGTCGTGGGAAGCTGTGAATTTGTGTGAACAGAAATATGAACTCCCACTTCAGATGGAGCTGAAAAATGTTTAGGTTCATGTTGGTTTAGATGATGTTGGGCAAGTGATATGAATGATGAAAGCGGTTAAGTAGCAATTAGGGGGAAGGGAAACGGTTTGCTTTTGAGCTCTTTTCTTTGTTTCATGTTTTGACTATGCTTGGTTTTCATTACCTACATTCTAAGCTCTCTTCTGTAGCTCAATGTTTAATTATCTATTTAAAATTTACATTTATATGCAAGCAAATTCCTGTTGTCTCTTTAGGGGGATTGGATGGAGTTCAAAGTGGGGTTTTGATTTCTCTCTAGGATCATCCGTTTCATTGAAAAACTGAAACATAAAAAAGGGCAATACAGTCTTTCAATTAATTCAGTAAAATCTAACCCTCACAAGGTATGTTTAAGTCCATTCAAAAATCTCAGGGTGTTATTATTATTATATAGTTCAAAACTTATCATTATAATTTAAATTTTGGAAATATTATCATTTATATTATTTATTATACACATTTAAATATTAAATTGAAGAAAATTGATCAAATCACTTAAAATGACTCAATTGTCAAGTGAGACCATGGCCTTTGTTACCATAAGTATCGGTTTCAAATCTTCACATCTTCAAAGTTTTTTGTGATTTATTTCAAGGAAAGTTTGGTTATAAGGCTGGTTCTTCGAGTTAGTTTGGGTAAGGTAAACCCCTAGACCTTGGAATCGGCCTGGTGGGGGTTGGTTCTAGAATTTAGAACCAAACCTTACTTGATCACAAATTAGTTAGGGTCAGTCAGTTCAAGGTCCATTCAAGGTTAGTTCTATTTGGTTCCAAGTAGAACCTACCCACTTACTCAATCCTACTTACACCTACAGCCCAACACATTGAAGCTATGCATTGCAACATCTCCCCATGAATGATAGCATATACAAGTATGAGAGGCATTCTTGATGTGCATCTATGATGTGCTATGTGATTGGTGTCAGTAGATCCGGTCTCTGATGTGATTCATGATATATTTTGAGTCATATATTGCCACAAATTTCTTGGCTTGCACTTAGATTTTATATGTTCAGGCTTAGAAATTTGTGGGTCTGGGTCCAAAACTTTAAGCCCACACAGAAATATCATGTGTTAATAAAGGGTCATTTACTAAGACATTGCGTATAGTTTCACCTATTTACCTTTTGCCACTTTTCTTCTTAGGCTTTGTTCACTATTCGGTAAGTTACTTACCTAGGTAAATGCAGTTACCTGGGAAACACTTACCCAGGTAAGTGCATTTACCTATGTTCTTTTATTTCTCATGTAAATAAGGCAATGACCATTTTAGCCATAAAAATGTATTATTAAAAGGGGCATTTTTGTCCCGTTCAAGTGTTGGCAACTTTCCCCCTAGGTGGGAAAGTTATTTACCCACCTAGGAGATGTGTATAATACCTAGGAAATAAACTTTCCTTGGTCCCACATAAATCTGAAAAAAGAACATGGGATTCTTGGTCAATGGGAACCAAAATCTCATTGACCAACTTTTCCCCCTCTCAAAATCCGAAAAAAGAACACCCCCTTATAAATTAATTTCCTATGGGAAAAACCTATGATGATAGAAAGACATGATACCATAAGAGCTTTGACCACTCCAAACCCCTTGTAAATTTTGATAAATACCACCTGATTAGTTACCACTTTTATGCTATCCGTCAATTGGTTACAATTTTTTTTAGGACTTTTTCTGTGGTTAGTTTTCAATTGAAACTTCCCTTATCATTTATTTATTTATTTTGTTGTGATTTTTTATACCCTTTTTTGTTACATCTTACCCTTCATTTATTTCCTTTTAGTTAGTCCCTTCGTTTATGTATCTTTAGATTTTCTTGTGATATCATGGTGGTTATTTTATAAATATGGATGACTAGTGGTAGTTTATGATTCATTATATTATGGTTGATATGGTTATTTAATTTTGATTCATTATATTATGCAATTTTGTTTCAATTTTGATACACAATGAAAGTCTTATGATAGTTATGTTAGTTCGTGATTTGAAATGAAGCATTCAATCATATTATCTGTTTTGTATCCCACTAGTATTATACATTTGTGCCAAAATATTAAATTATCCTAACATCTCATAATGGTACCTTTGCTACTTTTATGTTCGCCCAAGTGATGAGGGTTATAATGTTTTTTTTTCTCTTATTTACAAGACAATATTGCTTGTTTGTATGACCCTATTTGTGCTTTAGGAGATTTTAATTGCATTCTTGATTAAAATGAAAAATCAGGTGGCAGATTAAGCCCTGTTTGGCAACATTCCACGAGAACGTTTTGTGTGTTCCCGGTGTTCTCATGGAGTAGAAACGTGTTTGATACAAGAAAAAACAAGGTATTCTTGTGTGAGAATAGCACCCAAAGAACGTGTTCTTTGGGAGTGAAAAATTGACGCTCCCAAAGAACGTGTTCCCAGGGAACGTAGGGTTCCCACGACGTTAACCCCTATTAACGAACACGTGTTAACGACTTCCACATGAGAGAAGGGGTATTTTGAGTATTTTGCACTAAATGATAGAAAGAATCCCAGCCAACCATTTTCGCTCAACAATGAACTCCAATTTGCCGCTACAAATCTTAGAGGAAGGAGGGACTCCCTTGGCTCCAACCGGATGGCGAGCGAGCATTAAAAAGCACTGGCGACATTTTCGACCAGGAACGCGTCAACAGGTATGTTGTCTCGTCATCGTACCTATATATCATGTGCTCTATTTTAAACTCACCTTTTCTCCGGCCAGATTCTCCTAAAACCGGTTTTACTCCCACCGCAAAGATGAGTTTTAAACAATCTCTAACCGATGTGATATGAAATCGTTTTTCTTATATTATTTTGCTGCATTTGTTATATGTTATGCCGAATGGGTGTTGTTTCTTCTCTAATCCCATCAATGGTTATATGTTATGTCGAATGGGTGGGGTTTCTTCTCTAATCCCATTGTTGTG